CAGGGAACAGCGCGTCGAAAACAAAAGGTCCATCAATGGCACTGGAACCGTTCGAAACACAGTTCAGGTGGCCGACCTGGAGGACGGCAGCACAGGAGCCCAAAGAGAAAATGTTCAGGAGGCCGACCACGCGGAAGGTAGTGGCCACGTGGAAACAACTCAGGAGGCCGACCAGGAGGCCAGCAGCACAGCGGTCCAAACCAGAACAGTTCAGGGGGACGACCGTGCAGAGGGCAGCAGCGGCGACTGAGCAGCTCCGAAGGCCGGCCACGCGGGAGGCAGCGGCGGCGACTGAGCAGGTCCAGAGGCCGCCTACGATGGCGATGACGTCCAGCCTGTGGCCTGGACAGTGGCCGATGAAGTTGAGGCCCTGGACATAGATCAGATGGCGGCGTAGCAACTGCAGGACCAGAAGAGGTAGGACCAGACGAGAAAGGACCAGATGAAGCAGCTGCAGACGATGTTGTGAAAGCCGCAGGTGGTGGCACACAGGCGACGACGGCCGGAAGGGGCCCTCTGACCCTTCAGCGGAGGCAGACGAAGGCTGGACGGGCCCCATGGACCATCCAGCAGAGACAGACGAAGGCTGGAGCTGCCCCTCAGATCCTCCAGCGGAGAATAAAAGCACTCGTTCCTCTTCAAACAATCCACACACGAGACCAGTCTCTCTCTCTGACACTCACCACATGGGAAACATAACTTGAAATAACTTGAAGTGAGCTTTTCAGTATGACTTCTCATACATATCTTTCACATTATTATGGAGGAATTGTGGCCTCCTCTTCTCATTGCTTCAGTTCATTGAGGTCCGCCAGGGTTTGTTTATGTACAACTCTCTTTAGGACCTGCCACAGCATTTCATTCACGCTCTGAACTTTGACTGGGCCATTATAACAATTTGATTCTTTTCTTTTTCAGCTGTTCTGCTGCTGATTTGCTGCTGTGCTTGGGATCACTGGCCCACCTTTGACCTAACCTTTAGCTGTCAGACAGATGGCCTCACATGTGACTCTAGAACACTTTGGTCCACATTGTGGTCAATGAGTGGAAGGTGGCCAGAGGTTGTAATATAAGTCAAACCATCATCATCTTTTCATCATCATGTTTGACAGTTAGTATGAGCTGTTTGTGCTGATACGCTATGTTTGGTTTTAACTATATGTGATGCTATGCATTATGACCAAGCATCTCTATTTTGGTGGGCCCAAAAGAGATTGTTCAGTAAGTCTCTGGTTGTGTTTTGTTTAATTTCAGATGCAATTTTGCAAATCTAAGCCATGTTGCCATGTTCTTTGAACCTTTTAAAAGTCATTCAGGATGCCTGGGCACTCTTTTGTCCAGAAACTAAAATTAAGAAAGAATCTTTCACTGAAAATGCTGCCCTTATTAAGATACAAACTTTTCCAGTCTTCATGGAACACTGAAATGTTCAAAGCAGCTGTACTGGATCTGACACCTGTGACCACAGCGATACTTATTTGTCACTTTTGCTTTTGCTATTATGCCAAAACATCAATAATTAAAATCAACACATGCTTGAGGGAAATCTCCAAACAACAAAGGAGGAAAAACTTTCAGACTGTTAAAGATAACTGTGATAGCTGTGACTGAAGTTTGTTACAGTTTTCCCCCTGTTGTGTTTACATGAGGCTGTTTTAGTTGCTTAGTAATTAAATGCAATGCACAGCAAAGCAATTCATATAATAAAGTATACAGAAAAATTCTGCTTTGTTTATTGTGATAAACATTTTGTAGATTTAAAGTTTACCTGCTTTGTGGATAGGCTAAGTATAGACCTATAATCTTTATGAAAGATGTTTAGTCAACAATAGAAAGTAGTAAATGAACACCATGCTCATGGAAAAAGAATATGGGGAAATTGAGTAGCAATGGATATAAAGATTTTTATATGAAAATAATAGTTTTTCAACTGTTTTGGGTGGAGAGTGCTCCCTTTCTTAATGAATAACTACTCCACATGCAAAAAATATTTAATCATAGTGTGACCCTTATGGTTATCCATAGATCCATAGGTATTCTTTGCAAAAATGTAAAGGCAACACATGATTGGCTCATGTGCCCTTGGAACAAATGTATTAGTTAGAGATATTTTTTGTCCACTACAGCACCATCAGCAGTTGCACTGTGGGTCTTGTGGTTTACACTGTCAAAAAGTTCCCACAAATTGTCTGAGTGCATTGTTGTAGTTGCCACTTAAACTCGTAGTGATGCTGCTGACTCTTAAGCTCTGTCAGAGTTTGCAGTGTCATCAGGTTTTTTCTACACTCTCTCAATCAAACCTAGAAGCAGGCGGTAAGCCATCTGTTGAAACTGGGGTGAAATACACCAAAACCTCAAAAAGCCATGGTCACGTGATATCTACAGTGTTTCCAACTTTTATTTTATCCATACTGTGATTTTTAAATGCCTGTCCATGAGTGCCTTTCATTCTTCTTCTTCTTAATAATAATAAATCAAAACAGCATCAATCTGTCACTATCAAATATCTAATCTTTATTTCTGTTCCACGTCAGACTTTCACCTGTCTCAGCTGGGAGGCCTCAAGCAAAAACAAAACACCTAAAACATACCAGACCTCTCTACATGAGTGTATTTCTTCATAGATATAGTGTCACAGTAATCATGTGCAAATACATGCTGCTTCTGCATTTTAGTTTAATTTTTGTCAAATAAATAATGACATTGTGTAAAATATCGTGTTTTGTTATTCATCTGAGGTTAGATTAATGAATACACATGACACTGTGTTTTATTATCTCCTGATATGTAATACCTTGGAAATGAAAGAGGGTGTGCGTTCTTTTTACTGTATTTATTTATATAGATTTTTTCTATTTTCCTTGGCCCTCTCCTGACCGGTTTTGGTATCATCTCATTTATAAAAATCCTGGAAATGCTCCTGGGAGTTGTATTTTTAGCTTACAATCTGGCAGTGACACTTTTTGGAAATGAGGATTGACTCTTCCCCTTTTAGTGATTGCAATCCTTAAGAAGAGAGGTCACGCTTCCATAAATATCAGAGCAAACTATGATCAGTGCTATCTGCCCTGATTATAAACGAACCTAAAAATAGAAGCAGCCTGTCACTTTGAACAATCAGAGTGCAGCACTGTTCACATCTAACTCCAGCAGATGGCGTAACAAACCAAGAGGCACAAGGAGAGAGCGAGTAAGCGAGTGATGGTAGAACGAGAGAGGCGAGCCTGCTCTCCACACTATCACACCTTATCATCCTGGCTCTTCGGCTATGCACCTGCAACCTCTCCTTGGAGCCCCCCTTCTTGTCATCCTCCTTTTTTCCGCCCTCCGCCCCGGCGGTCGGACAGAGGTAGTGCGCGCTCAGCAGCGGGAGTGCGCAAAGCGGTCGGCATGCACCTGGAGAGAAACCGCCCCGCCAAGCCGGCCAAGGGCTTAACCAGAGACGCAGCAGGATGCGGAACGACGCTCTAACGACAGTGATATAGCAGCAGAGCACCGGGTGGATATCAGAGCTGCAGCATGGGCGTGGGAAAGAGGCGCAATGACAGCGATGTGATTCCACAGATATAAGAAGGGTGGGTGGGGGGAACCCGAGTTACGTTTGGACCAGAGTTGTGCATTTGAAAGCTTCGATTTGGTTGCTCTGAAATTCATCAGACACAACACTTTGTTTTACCTCCCGGTCTACCTTCACCGGAGTTTAAAGGGATGGAGAAAAGCGCACAGCAGCAGTCCAAAAGCGCAGAGAGACCAGCAGAGGACATCTCCAAAATACCCGATGAGGAGCTGCTGAAGTGGGGTAAAGAGGAGCTGGTGAGGCGGCTGCGGAGGGCAGAAGCAGAAAAAAGGGGCGTCATCGTGGAGCACGGCAATCTGATGCGGGAGGTGAACCGGAGACTCCAACAACACCTGAACGAGATACGGAGTTTGAAGGTGAGGTCGGGTGGTGCTGATGAAGGGGAGCCAGGCTGTGCCAGGGCCCGTGTGGGGTTTCTTCCAATGTGTAGACTATGTGTAGACAGCCTGCTGACTGAAACAAGTGTGGGCTCTGCATGAGAAGAAATATGGCCAGGTTACAGGGGTAGATTTAAGGTCAAATTTAGCTTTAGATAAGCATTAAACCTGTTGCTTCTCCATGCAGGAATTTGGAAACATTAATAAAAGGAAAATTGTACCTTGTACCTCTGTTTTATGGTTTATTATTATGTGCTAAACAACATATTAACTTAGAACAGGTTTTCTGAGAAACTGTTTTGTAATGCATTTTTTTATTTAAATTGTCTGCACTAAAAAATCAGTTAGTGGAGCTGGTAGACTAATACTGCCAATTATCATTGACTGAAGCTCCAGTTTCATTAGTGGTTACTTATTGGTTGCGTCCTTGACAAACCATTTTATCCTTTAACCAATAAAATGTTGAAGAATAGATAAAATTGTCCATCATTCTGCCCTGCCTCCCTAATAGTCCAGAAGCTAAAGACACAGACACACACACACAGACACACACACACACACACACACGTAATCTTCATCAAAGCTTCATTCATAGCAGGAATGAGTATGTAATCTCTCTATGTGCTTCTGTGTGTGTGTGTGTGTGTGTGTGTGTGCGCGTGCTCTGTGTAAACCAGGACGTGAACCAGAAACTGCAGGAGGACAACCAGGAGCTGAGGGACCTGTGCTGCTTCCTGGATGACGACCGGCAGAAAGGGAAGCGGGTGTCGCGGGAATGGCAGCGATTGGGTCGCTACAGCGCTGGCCTGATGAGGAAGGAGGTGGCTATCTATTTGCAGAAGCTTAAGGAGCTGGAGCAGCGGCAGATGGAGGTGATCCGGGAGAACCTGGAGCTTAAGGAGGTGTGCCTCATGTTAGAAGAGGAGAGGGCCACAGTTGTGGCTGGAAGCACAGGGGGAAGTGGTGGTGGTCAGGGAGGCCCAGGCTGCAGGAGCTCCATTGACAGTCAAAGTAGCCTGTCTCAGCTGGGCGGTGGCATGCCTACACCAGGCCTGTTGCGGGATGTTGGCGATGGAAGCAGCACCTCCAGCGCAGGGAGCACAGACAGCCCAGATAACCCTCACCATAAACCCTCCCCTCTTGGCTCCAATTCAAGCCCTGGATCTGGCTCAAGATGCAGCTCTTCAGGACAAAAGAGAGATGTTTGTGAATTCAGCGGGAGGAGGCGCAGCTCCACCACGGAGTACCACACCTTTCCCCAGTCCTGCCGGCCCCGTGGAGGGTCCCTCACCAACCTAGAGCTTCACAGCTTTCGAGGACACAGCCCAGAGAAACACAGCAAGTCTCCTACCAGGCTACCTTGTGGCTCCCACTCCAAACCCTGCAGCTCTGACCTACTAGCACAGAAACAGCTACTGATGTCAGGACAGGCATCTCCAGGCAGTGGCAAGGGCTCAGCTAAGTCCAGCCCAGATCTGAGTCAGCGACACCGGCAGGTAAACTCAGCAGGGGCTGGAAGTCCTGAAGCCAAGCAGGTAGCAATGGGCACACCTGAGCACCTGAGAAAAGGGCGGGTGATTGTGGGAAGTCCAGAGTCTATACGGCACCACTATCACTATCATCAGAGCCCAGGGGTGGAGCACAGCAAGGGGAAGTATAGTAGTGGCTCCCCTGGCAGGGATGGAAGTCACAGGAGACCAGCGGGTGAAGAGATGGCCCCCCACCACCAGAGTCTGTACAACGGTAGGCACATGGTAACTCTTATCTTGTATTTTTTCATTCATAACCCATTTTATGACACATAAATGAACACTTATACATGTATAGAGAGATGCACTAACATATTGTTTTATCTAACTAGAAAATGGTGGAGGCAAGGACTAATAATGACCAAATAGAGATATTTTTATCAATTACATGAGCCGTACATTCACAACAAGCATACAAACATTTGAATGTTTTCAACAATATACATTTAATGCATTTCTTTACTTAATGAGGATAAAGGGGCCGATGGTGCGATATGGCAGCCTCGCCTCTGTCAGTCTGCCCCAGGGCAGCTGTGGCTACAACTGTAGCTGCCTTCACCAATGTATGAATGTGAGAGTGAAAGAATAGTGGAATTGTAAAGCGCTTTGAGGGGTCCCGAAAAGCGCTATATAAATGCAATCCATTATTATTATTAAACTGTTTACTGTTTGGAGTCCATGTCAGCGGTGTGCCTATTAAAGCAACAAGATAAAGGAACTACATAGCTGATATCAATGCTTTAGTATTTGTTTGCTATCATCTCAGTATATTATTTTTCTAAAGTATTCCTTCAGATTGTTAAAACCTAATAGGCATATAGAAGATTTGTTATGTAAATACACCTTAGTCTATTTGATCTAATGCTTTTTTTTACTTGACCATTTTAATAATTTTCAGCCAGGCTTCTACTCCCATATTCCACCTTTCATTTATATTATTTGTGATTCAGATTCATTTTTGTATATCTTTACATATATTAAAAAGTTGAGCCTTTGAATGTAAGTTAAATGAAAAAATATTAACTTAAGGCTTATTTGCCAGTGTTCTCTGGGAAGTTTGTATTTATAACAACAAGCTTTTAGTTGCTAATATAATTAAAAAACAGAAAGAAGCACATGTAATACTTTTATTAGCAATAACTCAGTTGACTAGGGATGCAACGATACCAATTTTTTCAAACCGATACGATACCGATACTTGGATCTGAGTACTTAC